TTTGGTACCAGCTCAAATTTGATCCAAAGATTCAACAATGTATCCCGAGGCGCAGGGAAGGTGAATCCGAGTATTGTTACTGAGGAAGCGAGGGGGAGTGATGATAATTATAGGGAGCCTGAGAACCAGCTCAAGATCGAGTCAAACTTAACAAGTAACAACATATCACAGTCCGTTACGTCCGACCTCCTGTAGTGGAGATCTAGAGCGGCGTTGAGGTTCGCCCGCGTTGATCAGTTCGAAACCGTTCCACGCTCCCATACGAATTTTCTCTTACCAACGGTTGTAATGAGGAAGACGATTTTGAAAGTCCCGCGATCCTCCGGTCGTTTGTCTGCAGTGCTTTTAGTAACGCTGACTGAGCAATGCCATTGAATGTAATTGATTATTATTAGAGTCTCTCCTCAATTTCACAAGTGGGTAGTCCCGGGCTGGTCAATTTTTCCTATTTCATTGATAAAGAAGGTTGATTCCTTTCAATACATTTTCAGAGCTCTCTAGTGAGGAACAGCGGAAGCATCGTTATGATATGAGAAAAGACTACTCGCATTGAGTGGGCGACGAAATAGCGCTCTCGCTATATGAGATCAGGTTTCACTCCTCACATACCAGCGCGCAGCGTTTTAATTGCTAGCGTTCGAGTCACGGCGACAATAAACAGGATCTCCAACAAGTTCAGCTCCCCGCTCCTCTTAACTTTTGAACGGTTACACTTAGCGAAATACATTTTTTACAGGGTTCCTAGGTCAGTAGGAACTACTTTTTTTGATTTTAATATATGGTCATCGTGTTACCTCCAAACCCACAATTTTCAAGTTGAAAACTTGGCAACGTTGCAACGAGAGGGCAAAATATTTTCCGGCAATGAAAATTTCAGGAAATTTTAACCTCATATTGGAGAGTAATTTACTAAAAATTCAGACCGATCCAAGAAGCAGGGGGCCAGTGTCACAATTTTTTTCGCAAAATCCATAATTTTGAAGTTTGAAACTTTGTAACGGGAGCAAAAAAAAATTTCTCGGTCATGCAAATTTTAGGAAAGTCGTACTTTATACCAGAGAATGACATACTAAAAATTCAGATCAATCCAAAAAGAAATGGGGCAGGNCAACCTATTTCGAAATTGTGGTTTTTAGTATCTGGTAGTGCTCCTCTTGACATTCCAGCTCCAATTTTTATGTCAGGACCAACTTCGATTTAAACCTCTTTCAGGAGCACCGTGCGCGAAGGTTTTCCTCTGGACCTCGAAACCGAACACTGTGAGAGCCGTACCTCGAGTTAGGTTACGTCGTCGCCGGTCGCTCGACTCTTGGTTACATTAACAAAGGCGGGCCGGGCACCGTTCCTGTCCAAAGGCTGCCAGCAGCACAAAGTAATATTTTCACCATTTTTTTTAAAGTTCCCGCTCGGGTGTCTACGGGAATCGTTCCCGCTTGGCGGGAGAGGCGGAAGAGAGTTCTGGTTCTGGGGTGCTTGCCCCGAAAATATTTCTAAATTTTAGAGCATCTACTTTGCAGTTTGAGTCAATTTTGTCATGAATGATTGTGTTAATGATAATTGTAATGTCAGAGCTTTCTTTCTTCTTTTTTCCTCATGTTTTTCGGGCAAACGGGCGGAGGGAGGGCGTACGTGGTGTGTTCAAAAAGGTACCACCGGACTGATGTCACCCTAGCCTTAAAAATGGTTCAATCAAGCTCAACTGGAGCTCATTTGAAAGCTTATACTCTCACGAGTACAGTGGTTTTTAATTTTTTGACAAATATTTATTACTTTTTGTACAAAGTTAATTCTACGGCGGCGTGTTTGACCCGCTCGGCGATTTTTTAACTCTACGAATTTTCTAATGGATTGATCCAGCTGACACGTTCAATTCTACTGATATTTCTGCAATGGTGGTAGGAGTGTCTCTTCTAACAATTGCACGAACTTTTTCCACATTTGCTTAATTCACAGAAGTCGCAGGTCGGTCGTTCCTATCTTTCATCACCTTCCACTGCATGCCGTCCTCCCATTTAGGAACCGCGAATGCCACTCGAAAAACTGACTCCCTAGCCCATCGCATCTTCACCGTGCCCTTGCAATTGATCAGGTCAAAAACTTCTTTCTGCAAATCAGAGGCGGATCCAGAAATTTGGCAACACCGAATTTCCTCCATTTAAACCTATGCTAAATAATCGATTCTTGACGGAGCACCTGGCCCCTCCAAGAATCGATATATTTCCGTAGGTTTAAATGGAGGAAATCCAGCGTTGCCAAATTGCTGGATCCGCCAATGCTGCAAATATTTGCAGATGAACACAAATCCTTATGTTCAATATTTGCTCAATTAGACGTAATTCTGTCAAACGGAACTAAGCGCCATGGAAAAGCATTGCGAGTATAGGACGGAATGAGCCCGACGACCGGTTCCGCCGCCAATCCAAGCCCCCCTCTACCCTCTTCCCCTAATGGCGCTTAGTTCCGTTTGATAGAAATACGTCCAATTTTAGCTTGCATTTTCGCTGTAATCAAAGTGACAAAGCAGAAACACACTGAGCTGGCTTAATCGCCGATGAAAGTTGAAGGGAGGTCGGAAACTCGGATCTTTTGGGGTTAAAAAGAGCACTCAGCTAAAGTTTAGTGCGTTACTTTATCCAAGTAGGCCACGTATAAAATTGATTCTTGTCACCTTCCTCTGTGCACGCACTTCTATGTAATTGCACACACCTCACACTAGAGTATGGATCTCGATGATTAGGCTCTCCAACATAAAATCGCTGAGCGGGCCAAACATGCCGCCGTAAAATTGACGTTGTACAAAAACTAATGAATACTTTTCAAAAAACTAAAAACCACTGTACTCGCGAAAAAATAAGCTTTCGTACGAGCTCCAGTTGAGCTTGGTCGGATCATTTTTAAGGCCAAGGCGGCATCAGCCCGGTAACTTTTAGAACACACCACGTATGGACTCTAAGACCCCCTTGGATCCATCCACGTTTTGCCGGTTAAAAAGTTAATTTTCTACTTCGTTCTCCTACCACACCAGTATTCTTTTCAAAAAAATTGTGTCGTAAGGTGACATGAAACCGAAGTTTATGAAATTTTGGAAATATCCATGAAATGTTTCTTGCATTTCACGAGCCTGTGAAATTCTTTAAAAATATGAAATTCTCATTCAAGGGAGAGGCATGCAACCCCTTCTCTGTTCTCACAAAAGCAAACAACACAAAAATACACAGTTCAGTCGATGTGGTGCTCATACGATCAGACTTTTCTTCACTGCATAACTGAAATTTGCAATAGAGAGTCTTTAAGAGATTTCTCAGAATGGGATGCGTCTAACTAACTCGTGAATAATCAAGGAAGGCAATAATATGACTCCAATTTTACATTATTTGACCCCATGCAAGTACTGTTGGTAAGTGCTATGATATTATGGGTATACCAACGGAAAGTTCGGTTTCGTGGCAAAAATTAGTCACAACATCTGCCTCAAAATAATGGGTTTTCAGAATAGCTTCTTAAGTCTTTTAAGTCGTTTTAGTATGTTAAGTTTCAGCTGACAACCGGTTAGGTATAAGCTAATCGGGTGGTGGAAGCTGAGCAAAAGCTAGAAAAGTAAAGTACATGACCGTGGGATAAAGAAAATTAAAAAAATCAGAGCGGTTTCATATTTTTCCTCTCGATAATGGATTATTACGCATGAACGGTGAAGGCGCACGTGGTCCTTCACTCGCGAAGCTGCTGAGCCCTATTATCATAATGTATTTCTTGATTGGAAAAAGTCTCAACGACACTTTCTGGAAAACTTCCTGACTTCCTTTTCTGATTGAAGCATCTATCGGGAAAATTTCAAGGAACAGTGTTGGTTTCTCACCAATTTATAAAATAATAATAAAAAAATAATACGGGACCGGAGCTTTTTAGAAACCACCGCAAACGAGATCGTTACGCGTTTATACAGTTCCACCTAGATTGACGTTACCATCACAATTGAATGTAATGAAAACCGAATTTGCATGTGCGTGCATGTTCAATATTGTTTCAATACTGACATCGTG